AAACCTGAGTAGCTGACATTGATCCAAAAAGCAAAGAGAGGCAGAAGTCAGATCATTAGTGCCTGACCTGTTCTATGCAGCCCTCCTATGGCAAGTTTCACTATGCCACCACACCCAGCAAGTCTCTGACAGTGCCCCAGAGAGAACAGAAGCCACACTGAAGCTCTGACCTTCCTGATAGAGGAAAAAGACAATATTGTCCATAAGAAGAATCACACACCCCCATTATCTACGTGCGCGCGCGTGCGCGCGCATGCGCGCACACACATACACACACACACACACACACACAAACATACACTGGGGATCACACAAGTTGCTTTGCCTTCTTTAGCAACCACTGGAATCTTAGAGAGGTGACCCCCCTCCTTCTTAAGCACTGGACATGGGAGTGGACTGTTCTGTTGCTAGGAGGTGACTGAGAGAATTGACTGGACAAGGGATGCCAAACATGGAGGATTCCACCTGCTGCTCCTGACCCACACAGACCATAACCTTCACCTCTGTTTCTGTTGGAATCCTCATGACCACAATTCACCCTGGTGGCAGTGAACTTGGAGTGGGCACATTCCTACTGCAACGCATGTATAAGCTACCACCACGATAGCTTCCTGCACAGACCCTGTTGGCCTGGCCTCTTCTTCTGTTGACCTGATGACTCTGCCCACATCACCTAGGTTATGCAGAGAGGTTGCTTGAGTTTATTTAATCACAGGTCCCAAGACTGAGGTTGAGTGTGGCCCAAGGATCATAGGTCCATTTATTTATAGATGTCTTGGTTACATCTACTGCAAAGTAAGCCGGCCCCAAACTTCACTGTTCTAAGTAGCAATCACTTGTCACCTCTCATAGGCTTAGCTGTGTAGCTCCTTTGCTATAAGCAATACTAGATGTGTCGAGCCATTCAGAGCTTACCTGGGGTAGAATATCCACAGGGCTGGCTCACAAAGCCAGAGCCATGAGGATAGCCGTAGGGCTGAGTGGCACCAGGCTTTGTGTTGTCTCAAGGATTTCCCCTCCGGGTGCCCACTACTGTACTCTGATTTATTTATTTTTCCCCAGAGTTTAACAGTCCCAGAACACATATGGCACGGGCCCTTCTACAAGCTTCGACTCGGCCTAGGCAGTCTCTTCTACCACACTGGTTCTTTTCTTTGGCTTATTTTTTTTTTTTTTTTTTTTAACACAGGCCTTCTCTTCTACGTGGCCCAGACTGATAAAACTTGTGCTCTTTCTGCCCCAGCCTCATGAATGCTGGGATTCCAGGTGAGCATTACCACATCCTGACCCTGCTCATCTTTGAGCATTTCTTGGCAGCACAACTCCAAAGCCATAGCCCAGTTTGCACTGAAGGAGTCAACATGGCAGCAGGGTGGGCAGAGGGAGGCAAACAATGTCGTCACATTGCTTGCTCTGAGGGAAAATGAAAAACTAGAGAAAGACCAGTTCTCATCCTGCCTGCTGAGCAATTGTGTTACACGTTTATTGTAATCCTAAAGACCCGGACAGGGCTTACATCTTTAGAAAACCTCTTCCTATGTGCCAAACACCACGCAACAAACCAGTCTTTTTACCGGCAGCACTTGTGTCAAAAGGACACTGTGCTTCCCCGCTATAGTCACCAGGCACGTCACCCTGTGTCATAGTGTGTGTGTCACCCTTTGAGGTAGATCTTACATCCTAACAGGGCACAGGGAGCACCACTGCAATAAGCCCAGTGACCGTGGTACGTGATCTGAAGCCACTTAGCCAAGACCAGCAAAAATAGGATGTCTGAATCAGAAGCCCTGGACCCTGCGTCACGGGCATCACCTGGTCCCACGGAAGATGAGCGATTCCAGCCCCTCTCCCCATGCACAGAGGGTGACTAAAAGCTGCAGCGTTCCATTTGCAGAGATATGTCTTGGCTAATAAACATTAATCATCTCCCTCTTAAGTAATGTTTGAGCCATTTTATGGGTTTTTATCATGAACAAAATTTAAGTATTTAGGGCATAAGCCATATTCGCTGAATACTAAATTATTATCGTAGAAAAAAAGAAAAAGAAACGTGGGTGTGGTGTGCTTGGAACTTAACAGAGCCTTGGAATAGCCTGGGATGCCCTTTGGAAGTTAATATGGAAAGAAGATACAATCTGCACGTTATGATTCAGGGGTGAAAGACCTTATCAGATCCACCATAATTTTCAGAATCTTTCCTATATCTATGAGATAGAATCCTAACTTCAAACTAACAGAAGAAAAACCATGGGCTGTGAATTAATCAGGGTTCTCTAGAGGAACAGAATTTATAGAATGAGTGTGTGTGCTTGTGTGTGTGTGTGTGTGTGTGTGTGTGTGTGTGTGTGTGTGTGTGTGTAGAGAGAGAGACAGAGAGAGACAGAGACAAAGAAACAGAAAGAGAGAGAGAGAGAGAGAAATTTATTAGAATAGCTTATAGGCCATGGTCCAGCTAGACTAACAATGGCTGTCTATCAACAGAAGGTCCACAAATCCAGTAGTTGTTCAGTCCACAAAGTTGGATGCCTCAGCTGGTCTTCAGTATACGCCAGAATCCCAAAGGAGCAGGCTCTACTGCCAGTGAGTGAATGGACTGACAAGCAATAGCAAGTGGTTAAAAAGCAAGCTTTCTTCTTCTGTGTCCTTTATATAGGCTGCCAGCAGAAGGTGTGGCCCAGATTCTAGGTGTATCTTCCCTCCTCAAAAGATCCAGATTAAAAGTGGATCTGACCACTTCAAATGATTTAATTAAAAAATTCCTCATAGGTGTAACCAATCCCTTGAGTTGTTGTTAATTGCAGATGTAGTCAAGTTGACAATGAAGAACTGCCATCACAGGCTGTCAGCTACAGTGCTTCTCTTAGTGGTGCCACAGTTCCATTTGCCAGGAAATGGAAAGACATCCTCTGCACTAGCCTTAAAGGTCACAGAAGAACGAGAGTCCTATGAAAACAAACATGGTTAATGTCAAGAATCTCATGCATTTTTTCATCTTTCCAATAGAGGGAATAGCCACCCAGCCTATTATAGCAGCCCTCTTCCTCTTGTGGCAGCTTAGGCCAGAGTGGAACCCTCCCTTAGATTTCGCAGTATTAAGAGAACAAACGCAGGGGGTGTGGGGATGTCCATCCACCAACGGGTCCCACACCACAAGCCGCTGAAACTCTGGACCAGTTGTGCTTTCCTCCACATTGTCCTTCGTCTTCACCACGTCCATCTCGGTCAGCAACAGGTTCCAAGGAGAAAAGGCATTTGGCTTGCTCAGAGAGGAAAGGAGGCTAGCGGAAATCAATGAGGAGTTTCTCTGTGATCAGAAATATAGAGATGAAGAGAACCTGCCAGAAAAGCACTCGGCTTTCAAAGAGAAATACATGGCGTTTTATCTGAACAATGAAGGCAAGATTGATCTGATTCTTTAACGAGGATGATAAAGAAGCTGGTGGGGGGTCCTCAAGATTCACCTGGAGATAAACATGGCAGGGTGTAAGTGACACCATCTCTTACCAAGACTTTTGTGAATATGATGCTGGGCAAGAGGCCAGCTATCCTCTAGATGGTCATAATGTTTGAAGGGAAAGCCAAAGAGAGCAGCCCTAAGCCAGCTGGCCCCCTGTAGAGAGAGACATTGGCACCCTGCCCTGGGGACTCACCTGGACCTTCCAGGCTCCCATCCCTGCCCCTGCCTCTCCCTTCTGCTCTCTCTCCTTTCTGGACTCATTGTCATCTGTCTTCTGTGTTTTGTCCTAGTGGACCCGTTCCTTTTTCATTCTCATCTCTCTCTTTTTTTTTTAATTTGGTTTTGGTTTTGGTTTTGTTTTTCGAGACAGGGTTTCTCTGTGTAGCTTTGCGCCTTTTCCTGGAACTCACTCTGTAGACTAGGCTGGCCTCGAACTCACAGAGATCTGCCTGCCTCTGCCTCCCAAGTGCTGGAATTAAAGGTGTGTGCCACCACCGCCCTTCATCATTCTCATTTCTTTATGGAAGCACATGTTACCTGCCTTAATGAGACTGGGGACTCCTGAGCCTCAGGGCCCACCTCTCTGCTTCCTGCTGCCCTGCCCTCCCTATCCGGAAGGGCTGGCATCAAACCCAAACTGGAGAGGCCACGGAGACTGCACACCTGAGTTCCCATGTTTGAAGAGGGTCCTGTCCACCGGTTCATCTTTCTAGGTTTCTAAGCTAAGTTCAGACTTCAGGTTTGACCCTGTTGGGCCCCTCATCTCCACCCACTCTCAGAAGATCCTGAGCAGGGACAAAGTTCCAGGGCACCTGGGACAGCATCACGACTCGGGTGTTCCTGCATTTTTTTTAGCAACGGCCACTCAATGCCTCACAGACACAGCTGATTCCCCTTAGTTCTTGCCGCTCTTCATCCTCAGTGACATGACACAGGGTGCGGAGGAACAACCAACTGTTGCAGTCCTTCAAAGGAAGCAGAAGGAACTTCTGGCTTTACTCTCTGGACCACACCTTCACAGACAGTTCAGAGGGACCATGCAGTTCCCCTGTCCCTTGCTAGGGCAGGAAAGGGCTTTCGGGGCAGAGGTGAGGTTAGTGGTGTGGGCGAGTCCCACTTTTAGGAAAGATGCTCAGGATGCCACCGCAGAAGAGGAGTCACGTGATCGTGTTGAACCTCAGAGAAACGGGCTGTGTGAATGCAGAATGTCCCAAATCTATCTATTTACCTTCCTACCCAGACTTGCCCTTCCCTTCACTCACTCATTCTGCAGTTATTTATTGAGGGCCTATTACAAGCTTTAAGTCAGAGAGAGAGAGAGAGAGAGAGAGAGAGAGAGAGAGAGAGAGAGAGAGAGAGAGAGAGAGAGAACAAACAGTCCCCACCCAAGCCTACATTCATGTGCTCCTATCACCCGTCAGGCAGAAATGTGCAAAAGTCACTGTGGTTAAAGTAAACCCTCAGTCTCAAACCTCCCTCCCTGATCCAGGTTCTGACAAAGGATGGGGGCATAAATCTTACACCAGAGGACAGTATTCCAAGGTCAAGGTCCCAATTGGCTTAATTTTTATTCTAGAATCAAGTAAAACTTCATCCCATGAAATAGGTCATGTGGTCCGTGGGCCCAGTGGAGGAGGTGGGTTTCATAGGCAGAGAAAGTCTGAAGAGGGAAGAGACAAAAGCGGGTATTGAGCTAGTTATTTCAAAGTTTTGTTCCTTATAACCCAGAGGTGACAGAACATTAAGAAGTTAGCTGATTAGTTACCATCAGGTCATGTGAGTCACTTCCACAGTGTAAGGATTGAGGCGGAAGGAACATCTAACCCTAAGGCCAGACCACTTCATTTCAGGTAAGCAGCCAGGAATTTGAGCATTTTCCATTCTATTTTTATTTTTATCCTGGTCTGTCGGGATTCAGTGCAGGAGCCTTATCTAAAGCCTGGCCTCCTAGATTTTTTTTTTCCACAGCTGGGAAAGGGTCAAAAGGCAAGGACTCTGCCACTGAGTTGCACCCTGGTCCCTTCCTATGATGTCTTTTTAGCATCTGGAACACAATCAGACAAAGCTCAGGGGAGGCACCTTCACAAACAGCAGGCTGGCAATCTTCTGGAAGTCTTTGCAGCAGACGTTTTTTCTTGGTGTTTCTGAAAAGGAATCATCTGAGGTCAAAGTGGGGCAGCCAGGGCTCCTCTGAAGCCCTCTCCTTGCTAGGACCTCATGATTTCTAGGAGACATTTTTCTGTGTGTCAGTGTCCTGCTCACTGCTCATTAAAGGCACCAGACACACGAGATCAGGACCTGTTAGCATAATAGCTAGGGGGGAGGGCACAATCCTACAGATGGCCGAGATCATTCCACTCAAAACACCGGACTCCCTCACATGGTCCCACCTCCCAAATGCAGCAGCAGATGTGTGTGGGAGTATGAAAGGCCCAAAGATAAGCAGCCAGGTGTGCTAGTGCACACTGCTGGACAGAAGAGGAAAAGGGAGAGGCACCCTCTTACCACCACCATCACGGAGACTGTCATGTGGGAATGCCTGGGGAACCAAAGCCTAACGAGAAGAGGAGCTGGGGATAGAGTTTAGTGGGCAAAGTGCTTGCTGGGCCATCATGAGGACCTGAGATGCCCCAGAACCCATGTACAGAAGCTAAGCATGGTAGTCTGTTCTTTAATCCCAGCATTAGACATGTAAAGACAGGAGAATCCCTGTAGCAAGAATCTTAAATGGTGTTATTAATAAAATCAAACCGGGTGCCAGTTATTGGGGTGAATGCTGGAGATCAAAGAAGCAGAACAGGCCACAGCTTCCTCACCTCGCCAATTCCTCAGCTGGTCCTGTTTCCTCAGACTGGAAGTTTCTGTGTCCTCATCCAAATGGATCTCAGCTGAACTGTTGCTCAAAAGCCTAAAAGCTTAACCAACTCTAGTTCCTGGTCCTCACTCCCTATATACCTTTCTGCTTTCTGCCCTCACTTCCTGTGTTTAAAGGCGTGAGTCACCATGCCTGGCTGTTTCCAGTGTGGCTTTAAACTCACAGAGATCCGGATGGATCTCTTCCTCCCAAGTGATAGGATTAAAGGTGTGTGTGCCACCATTTTCTGGCCTCTATATCTAGTAGCTGTTCTGTTCTCTGACTCCAGATAAGTTTATTAGGGTGCATGATATTTTGGGGAACACAATATCACCACATTGCTATGATTCACTGGTCAGCAAGCTGAGCTTAATATGTATACATAAGCTTCAGGTACCATTGAAAAACCCTGTCTCAAAAAACAAGGCAGACAGTATATGAAAAACTACACCCAGGCTTGACTACCAGCTTCCACTTGCGTACATATGTACCCACTCACACATGAACATGCACCAACTATTTATTTATTTATTTATCCATCTATTTATTTATTTATTAAAATAAAGAATAGAAGAGAAAGGGATGGGAAGGGATGCAAGAAGGAAATGTGCCCATGAAAGCCAGGCTCCCTCCTGGGTGTGTGGCTCTGACAAGGGCCTTCCAAATGCTCTAAGTCCGTCCACCAGGTCTATGTGGCTGACCATGGGAAAAGGTTCACTATGAGAGGCCTGGTCATCCATTCTTTCCCGTCCGACAGAGAAACAAGAAAGAAGCTTCCTTTCCATTCTCCCTCCAATCTCATCATCCTAGTCAAGAACTTGATGCTGTGACAGTAGTTCTGACTCAGTGGCAATTCCTGCTCTTGCTCCTGGACTTCCCAGGCCCCAGGAGGGGGATGAGCTGGATACTGAGACATACTTTCTCATCACCTAGGCTACCTATGGGAGGACCACGCTTGGAAGGCACTGTGTCTCTAAGGGCCTGTCACTGATAGTCTGTGCTTACTCTTTGGTACTTTGAAGACATCACCAAGCAGCATAGACATTTTCTGGGACATTGTAGTCTGAAGAGCACCAGTTAGAGTGGGGTCGTTTAAGTCATTTCCCTCATCACCCTGACTCCAGCTTGCCACCTGACTGCTCTTTGAATCAGGTTAAAAATCTCAGATGAATTATCTGTCCTTAGCCAGTGGCTGAGAGCAATGAGACTGGGCTATTTGGGTATTTCCAAACAGACATTGGCCTCCATTTGATTAATTGCTACATAAAACCCTGAGCCCACTGTTGGACTGTTAGAACAGCTAGAGCAAATGCCCTGCTCCAGACAAAACTCTCAGAGATGGGCCCAAGCTATGGCCACCACTTTCCACAGGGTTCTTGGTCCCAGAGCCATGCAGATGACAGAAATGGAGACTTACAAAAGACACATTTGAAGTCACTCCATACAGCCACTCCTCACTCCAGGAGAGCCCTGAACTTGTCCCAAGTCACCCAAAACAGGACAGGATCCGATCTAACACAAGAATATCCAGAGCTTGGTAGTCCATAAACACCAGGACAGTGTCAGTATGATGCCAGAAAGTGGGACAGGAGTTAGGCAGGGGGGATGGAGGGTAAGGACTATTCAGGAACATGATGGCAGCCAGAGACCCTACAGGTAAGACAGTGCATAAAAACATTTTCTATATAATGCAACCCTCTGCCACCTGCCACAAAGACACTCCCGCAGGAGGCCCTCATGTAGCAGAGTCAACTTACCCAATTCCAAGTCCCGCAGGCAGTTTCTCAGCCTTCTGCAGGTTTCAGTTCAGAAACCATGGTTCAAGAATTTTTTTAAAGCAATGTTTGCCTGTAGCATGAGATCTCAAGAATAGTATTTCTAGTTAAAGAGAAGGCTGTGAGCAGCTGTCCTTTCCCTGGAACCGGGATACAGGGCACAGTAAGGGATGATCTGTAACTGGCCTGGTCTGATCTCTTAGCTCACAACTGAGGACATCTATGTAACCACACATTGTACCTTTCCCCCAGCTATCCTCTCAGATATGCAGTCCATACTCGCTTCACTCTGTGCAGTTTATCTTGTAGCTACATCTTCTGAATCAAGGCATGTATTTTTAATTTTTATCTCCCCCTCCCTCTCCATCTTGATGATTTTTTTAAATAGGAGGGAAGTACTATATTGAAAGAATGTTTTAAGTCTGTTTCACAGGGTTGCTTGTGTGTGTGTGTGTGTGTGTGTGTGTGTGTGTGTGTGTGTGTGTGTCAGTAGCAGAGTCCATGCCTAACACATGTACTTCTCAGGGTTTGATTCCAGAGCTGATTCATACACATTGTTTAGTTTTTCCTGAGTCTTGGACTATTTCCCAAAGTCTTTTTTATCTCTCCCAAAGGGCAGGTGGCACTCACTATGGGCACTGGTCAGCCTTGTCCACTGAGTTCCACTTTTCTGGAGACTGCTAACTCACTTGAAACCCTGTGTGCTGTGAGCTGCGCAGGCTGTGAATCAGAGCCACTGACCACCCAGGGACAGAGGTGCCTCTTGCTCTAACATGTGTCTGGACGAGGCAGCAAAGGTTTCCTCAAGGGCATCTTAGTTCATCCAAAAGGGGACACTCAGAAATGCTGTATTTCTTCCCAGGTCCAATCGAGGACAAACTGTTAGAACCTATCACTCTCAGGAAGCACTGAGTGGAGCCTGTGCGTGCGAGGACAAGGGGCCTTCTGTCCTGCACTGTCATATACCATGTGTCAGCAGTAACGGTGCTTCACAGAGTAGACAATCCATAAATACAGTCACTTCCTCCCCAAAAGATATTAAGTGAAAAAAATTCCAGGAACAAACAATTCATCTGTTTTAAGTAGCATTGCTGTGATTATTCTGTCTGCTTAGCTAATGGAACCTCATATTATGGCTATTTAAAAGGTAAATTTTTATAGATATGGACATAGAGGGGAAAACATCATCTCTCTGAGATTTGGTGCTACCCATGGTTTCAGATCTCTCATCAAGGTCTTGGGATTCCCCCCACAGATGGCAGGGCTATATTTGCCAAATTACTGTTTGTTATTAGGCAAGTCACTTGACTTCTCTCAGCCTGCATTTCAACAAAATGGAGATTAATTTGGGGTCCCTGTCAGCATTGCCCAAAGGGATTAAAAGTGATTCCCACAAGATGCTTTGCCACATCCACACAGTACTGAAAGGGACACAGGATTGTTATCTTTGTTACTCATACCCAAAAGCTGGCAGCCAGTGCCCAGAAAAGTGCCCTCCGCCCCAACAAACCACACCTCCACTGACCCCTGGGCACCTTCAGTTACAGCCATATGTCTTTACTCAGAAGGGAAGGCGGCTGTATGGGTGGAGCAGGGGGAGGAATTCCTGCTCTGTCTCTGCACTGAGGATAGAAGCTCAAGTCCAGAGGGCAGTGGGGGAAAGGTCAGCTACCACACTGGGCCTTCTACACGACATTCTGGGGACCATTGTGTTTCTGCAGGCCATAAGCAAAGGAGGATCTACCCACTAGTCCCTGACGGAGAAACCTCCTCAGCCACTGAGCTGGAACCCTGTTCCAGGTCCTTCACAGCTCTGTCTCTCTTAGGAAACATTAGGCTGTGGATACTCACCAGCAGACATGGAAGCAACTTGGGGAAACTCACCTTGTACTGGTGCCAACAGTTTGGAAGAACATAGCAATGACATTCAAAAATTAGGGACACATAACATTACAAAAATATCCAATACCACCCTTTGACAATGTTTGTGTTCTAATAAAGACTTATAACCTTAAAAACAGAAGTCACATTTTCTTTATCTCCAGTGTTTCACTTTGGTATCAGAAGCTGAGAAGGGCTAAGCTGTTGTGCTTCTCACAGTGACAGGGTTTTCATGTGGGCTGTTTTACTATTCCAGCATTCATGGCTCCTGAAGGCTGCCCCTCACCCCCGCCCCCTCTCTCTGCCCCATAGCTGGATCTTCCAAGAGTAAGCATCAGAGAAAGCGGCTGGTAGATGCACTCATCTTTCATCCCTTCCATGCACTGCCTTTAGTCTGAAATCAAAGTCTGAGGGCAAGGACAAAGGAAGGGGCTTAGTGTGACATTTCCCTTCCCTGGGTTGAAGTCATTAGTGACAGGGAAACAGGAAAGGGGCAACGCCTTGTTTGGAGAAGGGAAATGCAGAGGAAGTGTGGGCAGGGTGGAGGGAACATGAGCTCCCTGAAGGGGACTGACTACTCAGGAGATCCCTCCTAGCTCAGGGGAGACGCCAGCTGGGGGTGGGGTAGGCAGCC